TACTGAGGTGCCATGGAGCCTGTTCTCCTGAGCTGATCAAGTGTAGAAGATGAACTTAGCAAGTGACTGGCTCAGGACTCCAAAGTAAGATGACATTAATCAACATGAAACACAAAGTGCCGTATTTGGATTTAAAAAAAAAATCTCTGGTGTTGGGTCCCAGGGCAGGAGAGGCCTGGTGTGAAGGGTGAACGGCACCTGGGGGCGGCCAGGAACCCAACCCAACACAGCGTGGGGCCAGGGCAGCCCATTCTCTCCACCCCATGGGTCATGTTGGGAGGCTGGGGTCCTGCTCCCCAGCCAAGGACCGAGCAGCCCGCAGTGAGTGCGGGAGGAGAGGCCACCTCACCTGCTCTTTGACAAATGACGGAGGCGCTGGGGACAGCTCATGTGGCAAACGGGAGATCTGGGGAGTAAAGGCGCAGCTTTCCAAATTCTGAAGGACTGTCAATAGTCCGTCAGGGACGCTCTGCCCGCAGACTCCGGGCCCGCCTCTCTGGCTTCATCTCAGCACCCACCTACCCTGGGGGCCCCTGGGTCCTCTCCCTCACCTACCCTTCCTCAAATGGCCCCTCCACCCTCTGCCTGCCTTCCCCTCCACCTGAGCCACCTCCCCTACCCCCCCCCCGCCCCAGTACCTGGTCAACTCTGACCCCAAAGGCCTCCCTTCCCACTGCCCAGCCCAAGGGCCGGCCTGACGTCATGCTCAGTCAGTGCTGACCTGTGAGTGAACAAGTGGGTGAATGGTGCAGTCAGGTGGGAGCAATAAGAAGACAAATTTCAGCTGAACCAAAGAAGTTTCTAGCACATTAGGCAGTCCCAATTTGGGACAGACTGCCTTGTGAGACAGCCTATTAGTTCCCCGGGCAGCAGCATGCAAGCAGGGGCTGACTGGATGTGGCGATGAAGACTCTGACCTCTAAGGAACCTTCCAGCAATGAGGTTGTGTCTCTTCCAGGGCTGGAAGAAGGAGCCAGTAATTTGGGGAAGGGGAGGAGCAGGAAGGGAGAAAAATCCTCTGGGATGTCAGGCCTGTTACTCTGGAAACAGAACATTTATAGCACCAGCCTGGGTGGGACTGCGGGGGATGGGCAGCTCTGGGGACAGATCTTGGGTAGGAACAGGACTGCAGGGCTGGGCTCTGGACCCAGGGTGGTGGCTTCCCATCCTGGCCTCTGCACCCAGACAGGAAACGACCTTAAGGACGGGTTGGTCTCCGTCACCTGCACGGAGCCAGACACACAACTCTGGCCAACAAGGATCCATGGAACCAGGCCCGGCTCCAGAACGTGCAGCCCTCCTTAACCTCCTTTGCTAGGGCGTCCCTAAGACACAGAGCCCCTTGTTCAAAACATCACACATTTCAGAAATGGTGACAGTAGAGCATTAAACCAAGCCTGGGGCCCTCCTTAATCCCCAGGAGGGCGCTGGCCTGTGGAGCCCACCCCCAGGGCCCAGAAAAGATGCCAGACGACGAGCTGAGCCCTGACCACGATGCCAAAGCCAGGCCTCCTTGCCCTGTTCGCTTCGGTCTTCACCGTCTTACGAATAAAGCTGGGCAGACAAGGCAGACGCTAAGCAAGACAGGAGCCTCTCCGGCCCAACAAGAGGCGCCGGGGGTATAACAGTGTAATCTTCACGGAAAGGGGAGGTTCCGTGAGCCCTGCCCCACCTAAGGAAGGGTGGGGTCAAGCGGGGAGGCTAGAAAAGACTGGGGAGCAGAGACTTGGAGGACAGACGTCTTGGAAGAGTCTTGTCAGCCTTGGACTTGTTCCAGGGACTTGGGGAACATGGAAGGAGACACATGAAGTCAAGACATGTAGAGACACCTGGAAGAGACGCGGGTGAGAAGCCTGTGGGGAGGCTGACAATGGCAGCTGTTACCTTGATTTGTACTTTGATTTTGCTCCTTTCCTTCCAGGCCTGCCTGGCCCCTTCTACCCCTTTCCTGCGGTTCCAGCCAGAAGGTGCCTTAGACTTGCGGCAAGTCTTCAGGCCTTAGCGAGCCTGGTTTGGGTCAACCTATTTGGCTGGACATTACCCAAGAGGGGATGGGTAACTTTGGGTGTTTCATTGGAAGACTATTTCCTTTTTCCTCAACTCTCTATATACACACGATCCTATTAAAGTTCTTTTACAGCAAAATCATGTTTGCCTTTATGCGGCACAAGGCAGAGCCCACTTGGGGCATGTAAGTTTTGAGGTTTGGGGGTGTCTCTCAGTCTGCCTGATAACAGGGAAGCAGTGAGTAGAGCCAGAAAAATAAATGAGGTCCCTGAAACATGAGTTAAGAAAAATTATCCTAAAATTTGGAAGTAAAGCAAAGAAGGGTAGGATTCTGGAGCATTAACACACCAGTCTAAGGATTGCTTCATTATCTGGGGGAATAGACTTTTGTTTGTGCCACTGTTGACTGTGAACTAGAGATCTGGCTGCTCTGAAATCACGCGTTACCTCAGAGGTTTCTGTAAGTGATTTCTGCCCACAAGAAGCACAAACCCAAAAATGAAGTTTTCTGATGCAATAGCTTGGACTCAAACGTAGCTGCCCCCATTCTTTCTCCGAGACCTGTTTTCGTAGTTCTGCTGGCCCCTCATTCACAAGCTGAAGAGATCTCTGACACATGTTCCTTCTAAGGTTTGCTTAAGAGTCATTTTTGTTTTGTTTTCTAAATTTTTGCATGTTTTACTTTGAGTTCAGAATTGGGAATAGACTCTCAAAAAGCCGAACCTGCATAAGGAGATCCGTGTGAACGCTGCATCCATAAAACAAGAAGACGTTCAACCTGCTCTGAACAGTAGACAATCCAAGAACCAGAGGCCTCCTTGAGAGTTAACAAGATGCAGAGGAGATGAACAGTCCTGACAGGGGCAGAAAACAGAGCAAACAACATGCAGGAAAGCCCACGAGTAACACAGAAGCCAGAGGCTTAAATCTACAAGGGGAAAGCGGACAGGTGTAGAGATGGAGAGAAATGCCCACTTCATGGGGGAGAGAGCAAGGAAGAGGAAAGGGAGGAGCAGAAAGAGGAAAGAGAACAGAATAACCACTAACCAAAGGAGAAATAAAAGCATTTTTTTGGTTTTTATAAAGATTTATCTATTTATGCATACAAGAGCTGGGGTATGGGCCAGAGGTGCGTGGGGTTGAAAGGATTCACCAAAGACAGAGTGGGGAGCAGAACAGGCAGACTGACGAAACACACTGCTGAGGGGAGCAGCGGGTAAGTCAGGAGAGGTCTGCTGCGCCATGTGGGTTGCTCCCTGGCTGGCCAGGGATCGAACTCGTGCTGCAGAGGCCGCAGATCGCTCCATAGTGCAGTACTCAACCCCTTGAGCCGCCAGAGAGGCCCAAAATAAAAGCATTTTTTTCTGACCTGAATAAATACACAGTCTGGAGTTTCTAAAGGCCATGCAGGGAGCAACCCTTCTCCTTGACTTGCCCCAGTGAGATGTCTGACCTCTGAGGGAAAGGAGAAAACCCCATGTATTTCTAGCAGAAATATATCAGGCTGCCTACAAGGTAGGAGAATCGACCCAACTGGACTCATGAGCAATACCATGTTGGCTTCAACCCTCCAATGTGCATGCCAGGTCCTGAAGGAGAAGCAAATCTGACTCCAGAAGTGTGCAGAGAGAAACTGTCCTTCCCCCCGTGAAGATGAAAGGAACATATGTTTGGACAGGCAAGACTAGAAAATTATCCAAACACCTTTTCTTCAAAAATAGAAATTAAAAAAAAAAAAAAACTACTTAAGGATATGCTCCAGCCAAACCAAAATAAGAACGAACATGAAGAAGCTGGCAAAGGGGTGACATGGTGCACAAGAAACCCTACGAACCTGGCAAAGCTCCCAGTGAGGTCTAAATAATGGTTGACAAGGAGGCTGTGAAACTGAAACAGTTCTTAGGAAAAGAGGCTTAGAAGACTTGTAATATTCTTTAAAACCCTATGTGTGCAATTTAACATACATCTGATGGTACCAACTACCCATCTCAGCCCTGGGCTGTCCATCTTCCCTGCCATTTCTCAACGGCATCTCACACACACGTGAATACATGCACTCTTACAAACCTGACACATGTGCACACTCACACTTGTACATTCACACACACACTCTCCTGCCTTCCTCTTTCCCTTCTCCCCTCTGCCATATTGGATCCTGACAGGCATGATCGATGCAGGCTCTCCTCCGGCTATATGTATCACCTGCTCTGGAAAGTCCTCAGACCCCAGCCCAGCCTGACTCATACCTGCGTTCTGCCCAGAGTCTTCATCTTGGGATGAGACACGTTTACCCATGGCTGTCGGATGCCTCTCCCCAGACAGCAGTTGTCCAGGCAAGGCCTAGGTCTGGGTTTGCTGTGCCCCATGCCTCACATCTAGGATGGCATGACCATTTTAATCAGTGCCCATTCAACCACTGCCTGCTGAAGGAATGTGGGAATGGGTCACCAGCCTGGTGTGACCCAGGAAAGCAGGACCAACGCACAGGACCAAAGCAGGTCCAAGATGCTCCAAACGGGACGGGGTAACCTGGCCTCCCTGACTGAAAGCTGATTTCTTGGCAGAAATAACCAGCTTGGAGTCAGAGAGCCCTGGAGTCCATGCTCAGCTGCTAACTTGGGGCATGTGCTAGGATAATAACAATAGCAATAACAATAGCTCTTTTTGATGTAGTTACTATTATTAATAACCCCCTTTTACAGATGAGGAAACAGGCTTAGAGAGGTGAAGGAACTGTTTTCAAGGTCACACAGTCAGTGTAAAGCAGACCCAGTATCAGCTGGCAGTGCAGGACACACGGCTTTCCACGGGAGAGGAAGGGATGTCTGCCCAGGTCACTCAGCAAAGGGGCTTCAGTCCTCCCACCCCAGGCATCCAGGAAGGCCCCAGACGATTCCACAGCTTTGTCACTACCACCAAGAACTATCACCAAGACTATTAACTTCTGGCAGGTATGCACCAGCGCCCAGGATGCATCTGACAGCTCTACCTACCCAGCCATGACGATGAAGAAATCCAGGCGGTTCCATGTGTCCCCAAGGTAGCACTTCTTGCCAAAAATGCCCAGGGCCACCATCTTGAGCACCATCTCCATGGCAAAGAAGACAAAGATGAAGTCATCGAAGACCTGCAGGAGCGGGAGGAAAGCAAGAGACAAGGAACGTGTGAGGCTGGGGAGTGAGACCCAAAGCCACAGTAAGAGATGGGGACACAGGGGTGGGGTGAGGGGCCTGGGAAAGACCCAGAAACATCTTAGTAGGAACAGAAACTCATAAATCCTGGCCCCAAGCAATCATTTCACAGCTGAGGAGACAGCTATGACTAAGATCAGCCCATTCTAATGGTTCCCTAAAACCAGATAAAATGACAAGGGACCCAGATGGGGGTGGGGCAAAGGGGGTCTCCCTAATAATTGCCAAGCATTGGGCAAGACACTTGACTTGCTTTCTGTCTTCTAATTCTTACAAGGAACCCATGGATAGCCTTGTCTGTAGCTGAGGAAACTGAGGCTCAAAGAGGCAAAGCTCTTGCCCAGATCACACAGCAGGTAAGCGACAGAACCAGAAGTGACACTCAGGTCTGTGTGACTCCAAAGCCCCCATGGGAGGAGCTTTCTCAGAACAGGCCTGACACTCCCACCAGACATAGGCCTCAGTGCCCCCTTCCTCTGCTCAGAAAGTAGGGCCAGTATATGTGGCCGTGGGCTGAGACAAGGCCTGGATGGGATACTTCTCTTTCCAGGACCAATACAGACTGCAACATTAAAGCAATTCAGCAACAAGGCAATGAGCACCTACTGTGTGCGGGATGGAGGTGAGGTGCCAGGGACATAGAGGAGAGGCCTCACTGAACTCACCACCGGGAGGGAAACCAGTCAGGTACCCACTGAGGCAAACCAGGGCTGGCCGAGGAGCTAATCACCTACTCGGACCCCAAAACAAACAGAGATTCTGAGTCCGCAGGTTTGGGCGCCAGGGACCCAGATCTTTAACCTGTGCTCCAGGGGGTTCTGAGAGCCTGGCTGCTGGGGAACTGATTCCGGGGGGAGAAAAGGAGGCCGAGGGCACATCCTCCTGGGAGGACGCTGGCTTTCCAAGGGAGACGGCCTTCAGTGCGCCGCATCTGTAAAACGGGTATAGCCCTAACACCCTGCACTCCAGGGAGGCACGTTCCCCATGGGGCCCCACCTGGGCGTGGAGACACGGACGTGGAGAGTGTCAGGCCGCTCGGCCTCTATGCCGGGAGCACTGGGCAGGAGTGGCCGGCTTTGGCGGAGGAGGGTTGCCGGCACCATGCCAGACAGAGGGCATGGGCCTCGGGGTGTGGAGACCAACGGGGAGCTTGTGTTGGTGCCTGGGTGGGAGAGGAGGGTCCGGACTAGGGCAGAGGCCCAGAAACAGAGAAGGGGGTGGAGGGGAGAGAGGGTGGAGGGTCGGAAGGGGCATGGGTAAGAAAGGTTGAGCCAGGCAGTGGGGGGGCGGAGATGGGGCCTGGCCAGGGCAGGTGGGCGTGGCAGTATGCGGTGGGCGTGGCAGTGTGGGGGGCGTGGTGGTGCATTAAGTGGGTGGGGCCTCACCTGCAGGATTTTGCAGCGGTCTGACAGGCAGTCCATGTCGTCGCACGGCTGATACATGCCGAGCGTCACGCAGTTCAGCAGGATCACCAGCATGCTGACACATTCAAACCATGTGCTCAGAGTCAAGGACAAAAACAGCCGGGCGGACCCCAGCGAGGGGTGCAGAAGCACCCCCAGGTGCTAATAGCCCCACCCCCTACAAATAGCTCATACACCACGTTCCTGCTTCTTCCCGCTGCAGGTGCCTTCCCTGAATGGATCCATCACTAAGTTTTCAAAGACCCTAGAGACCGTGGAGCCTGCTTATCCCCATCACAATAGACATGGCTGTGCCTGCCAACTCACCAGAGAATCCAAACCCACTTCCTGATCCCAACCTGGGGTTCCCTGGGGCCAGGAAGGAGAGGTCCCTAGAAGTCTGACCGGCAGGCCACCTCTGGATCATCCCCGGACTATCCCACCCCTTTCTGACTGTCACTGCCCTCCTTTTCTGACTGCCCCTCCCCAACACATGCTCCCCCATGTCCACCCCAGTCCTGCTTGGGAGCCTCCAAGGGCCCTCCGGTGTGGCTGAGATTAGCTGGACATCCTGTCCTCTCCATAATTGGAGTTAGAACTCATTGCCAGACTCTGGAATGTCTGTGTCTGGTTCCCCCCTAGCCCCTGTACCAATGAGGGGGTGCTCAGCATCCTCAGGCAGAAAGTCCCCTGCAGCCACCAGCTCTGGGCAGAGACTTAGTGCCAGATGAGTGCATTCCCCCCTCACCCCCAGGCCAGGGTGCTCTCCTCAGTAGCCCCTCTTCCTTCCTCCCAGACCAACTCCAGGAGCACAGACAGTCCTGGAACACAGCCGCCGGGCCTCCAGGGCCACCACTCCCAGATCCCAGCACCAGAGGGACTAGAGCTTAGGGACTCCGCTCCTGGGTCACTCACAGGCCATACAGTCATTACCCAAGCGAGAAAGCCTTCTCTCAAAGGAGGGCCGCTGCCCATGTCACCCCCACTCCTACCCCCCAAAATGGAGTCACAGGAGACCGGTGGCCACCAGCTCTTGTGCCATAAAAGCAAAATAACAGGACGGGACCAGGGGACCTGCAATAACCAGCTCTGAGGTTTCAGGCAAGCCCTTTCCCATCTCTGAGCCTCTGGATGTGCCTCCTCACTGGTCCCCCCAGATCTGCTCTGGCCCAGGGTCCACCCTCCCTGCAGCAGCAAGGGAAACATCACCCTCCTCTCCCACTCAGTGACTCCCTGTCTCTCCCAGTAGAAATTTCAAAGCCCTCACCACTGTCTACAAGGTCCTGCCTCCCCCCTCCCTCAACTTCAAGCCCTCTACCCTCACCGTGGCCCACCTGCTCCAGCCTCACAGGCCTCCCGCCACATCTCAGACACATCTACCTCAGGGCCTTTGCATGTGCTGCCCCAGCTACCTGGGAGACTTCCCAAGACCCTCAAGCTTCTTTGTCACCTCCTCTGAGAAGTTCCCACCCAATCTCTCCGGCCCCTGGGGCCATCACACCTTCCCCTGTTCCCAGAACGTATGCTCTGGAGCTGTCTTGTCTTTATCCACAGCTAGAACCCACTCTCCCAGCGGGCTGGGGTTTCGCATTCACAGCTCTGGCAGTGACAGCATCATGCAGGACTCAATAAACGTCGGCTGCATGAACAAATCCGCCTCCCTGAGTCCTGCCCACTCTTATGGCCAGTGATTTCTGAGTGTCTCCAAACGAAGCTCCCTACCCCACAAATTCAAAGCCCCTGCCCTAACTAAGCTCACATGTAGCCACATGGGCCAGAAACTCAGTCAGACCCCACCCCTGGGGGTGCTGGTGAGCACCTGCTGCCAGATGGGAGACTGACCTGGTTTCCCTGGTAACAGCCGCCCCCGCATCCTCAGGCCTTTGCTCACCTTGCCATGCTTCCTTCCCTCTTGCCTCCCCTTCGGACCCTCCTCGCCCCAGCCCTGCTCCTTCCTGGCCCCACCCCACCCACTGCCACTCTCCCACCACAGTCTGTAATTAATTTCAGTCACTGCCAAGGCCCCCTTCCAGCCTGAGCATCGCTCCAGCAGCAGCTTCATCATTAATTAACTTTTCTGAAGTTCAAACGTTCTAATTACCAGAGAACATCCCTCACCGTCCTCGCCTCCCCCTGCCTGCCAGGCGCTCTCCTAACGGCCTCCTCTGCTCCCTCTGCCCTTCCACCAGCTTCAGGTTCAAGGTGCACTTACCAGGTAACCCCCAGGAGCTTGCCACCCCTACTTCTTCCGCGTGGGGCCAGCAAGCCCACTGTACAGACGAGGAGGCTGAAGCTCCCTAGTCACAGCATCAGGAAGTATTGGAGCTGAACGTCCCACCAAGACTGCAAAGCTCCAAGGTCAGTGCCCTCCCCTGACACAGGGCCTGCCCCTACCTATGACCTGCCCCTCTTGCCCGAGGCCTCACCCGAGCCTTGCCAGCCTCCCTCTGGCCTCCAGCTCCAGCCTCTGCCCTGCACAATGACCAGGCCTGAGCTTTGTGCCCCACGCTCTCTGAACACTTTGCAGGAGTTACCCCATTTAACCCTCCCAGGGCTCTTATGAGGCCCATGTACAAATGAGGACATGAGGCATACAGGGGAACAATTGGCCCAAGGTCACCAGCTGGGAAAAGGCAGAGCTGGGCTATGAAGCCACAGCCTGCTTGTCTTGTCCCCAGGCTTGTCCTGCTGCCAGCTTCATCTGCAGGAAGCCCTACTCTGACCGTGCCTCTCCGTGTTCAGAAACTTCCACGGCTCCCATCACCCTCCTCACCGTGATACCCGAGGCCTCCTCGACTCTGACCTCAATGACCTCTTCCAGGCTTATCTCCCACTGGCCTGGGCACACATGGAATGTCTTACTGTCCCCAAGCTGAGGAGCTGCACTCTGCATGTGCTTTCCCAGTCACCAACATCTCTACCAAACTCCTACTCATCCTTCAGAACCCAGTCCATTTGTCACCGCTTCTCAAATGGCCCCTTGAAGTGCTTTCCCCCATTCACAAGGTCGTGGCTCCTCTCCAGAAGTGCTACCTACCCACCAGAACTAGCTCATTCCCAGTAATGAACCTGGCAGTAACCATGACTACTGTGTGCCAGTCCCCAAGGGACATGGTCCAGCTTTCATCACAGCCCCCCTGGGGAGGTGAGGAATCAGGCCCGAGGGCTGCAGCAAAGTGCCCAAGGTCACACCATCCGAGCTAGTGAGCCCTGCAGGAGTTTCTGGGGCTCCGCCAGCTCAGCCTGTGCGCTGACTCCCCCCAGGGGGCAGACAGAGTGGCTTTCACCTCCAGATCCTCAGCTTCAGACACTTGAAGATGGACGGTCTGGGCCCTGCCCCGAGGAAATCCCAGATGGCAGAACTTGGGCCCTTTCCAAGAGCCCAGGAGGCTCAGAAGTCAGGCCAGAGCTGGCACGGCTGCCTGCAGTTCCTGACATGCTCCCCACTGGCTCAAGGATCAAAGGCACCAGCCCTCCCTGAACTTGAACCAGACCACGAAGTGGGGAAGGAGACTGTCACGGGCTGAGCAGCGAGTGGGCTGGCCCAGAACAGAACTTTCTGTCACTGGTCACAAGCATCGAGGGACTCAGGGAACATGGTCAGGCAGGTTCCGGACACTCTGAGGGAAGACAGAGGCCCTAGGAGGGAAATATGGGGTCACGAGGACAGGGGGTCTTCCACAACGCCAGGGGCCGCCACAGCAAAGCTCCAAGACCCCTGCCCACCCTCTGAATCTGTGCACTTGGGGCCCAGCCACCTGGTCAATTTCATCATCCAGACCCTGGCTCTATCAGGTGACCTTTGTCACAGAGCAGCACCACTGACCCTTCAGGGAGCAATGGAGCCAAGCCCCAGTGCAAAGGTGGGGAGGAAGGGAGAGCCGTCCGAGGACACGGGGGCCTGGAGCAGGAATGGGCTTCAGACAATGGATTCCCCACCCACAGGACCCTGCGTCACCACTGGCTCTCAAACCCACACGGAACCCCACGTTCCCCCCAAAAGTCCAGGCTCCTCACACCTGGGGCCAGCACAGCACAGCCACATGTGGACATTTGGAGCTGCTTGTCGGTGGCCACAGGCACCTTTAAAGAGCACAGAGGGGAAAACAAACCAGTGGGCAGCCTTGGCAGCCAAAGCCACCCAGACGCTGGGCTGAGGTGTAGGGGGACAGCCCAAGGGTCCTTGGGGCCCTGGAGCCCCACCTTCCTGGCGCTGCCCATGGTCCTCAGCACTGGGACCTCAGAGCCCAGCAGGGGATTCACAAGCATTTATTAAGCACCTGCTGTGTACCAGGCATCGAGCTAACAACCGTGGTAACTGTGGTATCCACGGCAAACATTTCTGGCTGCCTTGGGTGGTGGGAGCCAAGGAGCGCTCTAACCAGAGCGCAGGTGTGCTCTCGTTTAAACCTGCAACAAACCCAGAGGCCCCAAAGAGAATCCGTACAGCTCGAGACCTGGCCAGTGTGTGAGGCGCGTGCAGCAGGGAAAAGCCCTCTCTTTGTCACCCCCTCCTAGAACAGGGCCAGCGACCCCGTTCTTTGGCTTTGGAAGCAAAAAGCCACCTCACCACTGAGGACTGAGAGTCCACGTCGGTGTGTCTGCCGGTCACTAATATTACTACCTCAAGTAGAAAAAAAAAGGGTGTTCTCAGGAACCCCACAGGCCGACGACGACCTCGGAGCCTTTCATGTAGAACCAACCAGCTCAGGCCTGACAGTGTGGAGAGCCGTCCCAGAGCATCAGCAAAGCTTCCCACAAACTGGCAGTTACTATCGTTACCCACATCCTACAGATAAAGAAACTGAGGCACCAAGAGCTGGCTCCAGGGCTCCAGCCCTGGCTGTCCAGTGGTGTGGCCGGCATGTGCGGGGTAAGGTTTGAACCCACCTCTTGCAGACACCAGAGGCCAAGTTCCCAGCCATGCTCTGCTGCCCCAGCCGGGGCCTGGAAAGCCAGTGGCACGTCTGCCTTTCCTTGCTCTCCACCCGTCTCCTGGTGAGACCGGAGGGAGTGCAGGCGTCAGCCACCCAGCTGTGTCTAGGGGGGTCAGGATGGGACGGTGCCCCATCGCAGGGGAAGGAGAGGGTGTGAGGGTAAGGAGGTAAGGAGGCAGAGGGGTGCCTGCCTCAAGGCCC